CACAAAAGTGTTCGATTCACAGGGAGAAGCAGATGATTTGCAATTTTCCCAAGCGCCCCGGCCCGCGCGCGAGGAATTGTGGGAGAGACTGTCCCTCGCCTGGCCGCTCTGCCTTGAGATTGCATTGCCTTTTCGCTTGCCTCTTAATCCTCTGTTTTTCGATTCCATTACCTATTTTTATCTATTCCAGTGTATTTTTTATTGCTTCTAAGTGTTTATATATTCTTCTGCGCGCGACATTTCCTGTATATTTGATGTGAAGGTGTACTTGGCTATGGTATTATTCGTTTAGGAATCAAGCGAAACTTTGTATCGGATCATTATACGTCTACGTTCACTCCCATTCGATGATTATCGTGTTTTCGACTATGTACACGGGGTGGTTTTCAGCGGTAGGTTTTTAATCTGATTGCCCGCCGGAGCGCGAGCCAGAACACACTACGGCCGCGGGCCGTCGCGCTCTTCTCCTTCTTCTCTGTATCAATATACAATCAAAGACGCGGGCGGAGCCGTCAATCGTGCTGGTGTCGGGAACCAGTAAGTCTGACCCTTGAAATGCAGGCGTGACGCAAAACCCAGAGGCGTCTCGTTCGCCCACTTACGTTCTTCCCAGGCGGCGGAGGTTGCCATTTAGAGGGGATTATCTTCTGAACGGATCCAAGTTACTCGAGCAAGCTCGCATTCTGCTCGCAAAGCCCAGCAACTAAGCAATGGTAACGGACGGTGGTTCGAGAGGCGTGCAACCCTTGCCCGCTTGGCCCTCCCAACCACTTCTCCGCTTCCGTAAATTTTGAAAGTTGCAGTTTGGTCCAGTGGCTTAGAGCTCAGTTTTTGAAAGGACCCGAAAATAAAAAAAACGGACCAGTACAAGCTGAACTATGGAAGACGCTCTAAGAGAGCCTGTCGTAATGAAAATGAACTGCACTAATGTGGCAAGTCGGGTGAATCGGTTCATAATTTTTCATCCCTTTTTAAAGGCTCCGGAAAAACAAGAAACCAGAAAAAGCTGAGTGACGCAAGGCGCCTCGTATTGTTCAGGTTGTCCCGGTTTTTTATTTCCTTTCGGCGCACCTCAAAACGCACAGTGTTCGGTTTCTAAACGCTGTTTTTATTTTCGCACAGAAATAAAACAAAAATCCGTAATAATTTTACACACCAGTGCAATGCAATAGAGACTTCTATTTCAAGCAAGCTGCTTTCCGTCATGTTTCCATGTCATCCTCCAGGCCGCGAATCTTTGTACACACTGATTAAGCTATTTACATGTAGATTGACATGCACTAGAAATCTGGCACTTTATTTTAGAAGAAACATGTTAGTGCACATAAATTCCCCCAGCGTCTTTCCTTCGAATCGCCTGGAAGGAAAATAGAAATATCCCCGGCATGATTCGTGCAGAAGGCTAGATTCAATGGTCGCCCATTATTTCTACAAACTCCCTGGCAGATTCACTACCATATAGCTTGGTGTCCTTTCTCCAAGAAGCGAGGTTTTGATAGAATTTCGTTGCTCGGCCGCTATTTTTTGAAGTGGCGCGAGAAAAAAAAGAGAGAGGGGGGGGGGGGGGGGGGAACAACGGTTTTCGCAAGCTGATTTTTTTTTTCGCCATTGCGATATTTTCTTGTCTTTAGGTATGCTTTTGTGGTGTAAACAATTTTAAGCACTTCCCACAAATATTTCATCATCTACGACAGTTTTAAAGTACTACGCACTGCCTCGGGTGCGTTGACCTCACGCACTAGAGCGTCACAGGAGCGAGTATTTCCGCAAAATAAATACGAGGACCTATTCCTTCCTTTGAATCGACCACTTTTGTGGCATCACGACAAACACACTTTCACCATGAAATCATAAGCAATAATGATTGATGATGAAATTTATTGGGCCCCAACAGTACAGCCACATTATTTAGGTTGCAAATAAACAGGGCGTCGTTCATGCGATGTGTTTACTTCCACGTTCGAATGTGTTGAGAATGAGTAGCCGAAAAGCGCAGTCTGCAGGCTGCTTCCTGGAGTGGCCTGATATTTCCCCAACTCGGGAAAGGGAGGGGGGGGGGGGGGGGGGGGGAGAGAAAGGGGTGGATGTTGTGGGAAGGTGATAATATTTATTCTCACTCGGGAGAGTCGCCGGTCGTTAAAACGTCGACTCGCTGAAAACGGGAAAGCCGGCGGGGCCCCATCTATAGTAACCATGAGTAAATAAAATGTGGTATACAGCTATGTCACTGAGAAGTTGCGATAGTGCAAGCGATGGGGCGTTGTGGAGGCAAGTGAAGCAAAGACCTATCTTACGATTGTGCCGTCTTTATTAGAAGCAAGAATTTCGGTTTGCTTCTTCAACCCCTCCTGACGCCGATCTTTCCAATTTTGAATAAATCCAAGACAGCGTTGATCGCGCAAGCCCGTGCCAAAATTTAAAGGTCTTTATCAAGTTATAAAACAGTCATCAAGCAGAGGTAAGGACGAATAAATACGTAAAAGAGTCCAAGATGGGGTGAACAACCTATGAGAGGAGATGTGTTTCAAACAGTAATGAATAGATTAGGGAAAGCCACTTGATTTATAAGTTTAGGAAATAAATGTATTATCGACGACCTGAACCCTTTAGTGCGCAAGCCAATCCTTGTGCAGACACGGGAATGGTTCCAGCAGCCGCGCGATGCCAGAGAGCGGCTGCTGCAACGACCCCAGCATACCAAGACCCCTCTATCCCCACCGACCGAGCGGCCTCGGACCTGCAGCTCATGGGAAAAAGCGTTCGGTCGCGCTGGCTTCCTCAATCTCGCGGATTGAGCGTGCCCGCGTCAACGAGGGAAGACACCTGGACGTCTCAAGGCCGTTGTGGCGCTCGCAGCTAGCCGCTCATTTCGCGGCTTTTTAGGATTATCCCTACGGAAAAAGCCGACACAAAAGAAGCCTCTGCCGTCACGTGATTTTTAGGAGAGGGTGAAAAGAGGAGAGCGCGAGGGGCATTTTCCTACCTTGCGGAAAATGGTTTCGTTGGTCGGTCTTTAAAGGGAAGCTACGGAGCTTCTTGGAAAAAATGAGTTAGAAGTGAATTCTAGTGTATTTTTACCCCGTGAACCCGAATACCCAAACCATTTGCTGCGTAAGTATTCTTAAACGCGAGAAAAACGCGAAAGACAGTCGCTGTCCGTGACGTCACCGACGGCTCTTTTGGCTGCCCAAGGCTAGGGAGGCGGGGCTTCAGTCCTATTTTGAAATTGCTCGTATGGCTCTCCGGCGCGTCGCATTGAAATACAATTTTGATATCTGTTAATCTAAAGGCCAAATGAACGCAATTCAAGCGTTTTTTCTCAAATGTAGAAGTGCCCCATCTTCCCTTTAATAGGTTCATTAGCATATCATAGATTTCTTAATGAAGAGTGACACATCATCTTATGCAGGTATGTAAGTTTGCCCTAGAGAGGTGAAACTTTGCACAGTACACCTACATCTGAAGCTAAATCTCCCCTGCAAATTTCATTCCGAT